TACGATCGTTGAGGCCCGTGGATACAATTTTTTTTGGAGGCCCTATATCTGTAATTTAAATTTCTAAATATTGAGCTGTTTATTTGGATTCAATAAATAATAAAATATAATTTATAGTAAATTAATAATTTATTGAATTATAATTTCGGAAACCCTAATAATAATATTTTATTTACAATGAGCAAACGTCTTCACCAATAACGATAAGTTAAATTTCTTAGCACTCTCATTTTCTATCGAAATCATCGCAAGACCACTAAGCCGTGTTTGGAGACGGTGCTTCTTGATAATTTTTAATTAATTTAAGTTTTGAGAATGATCTTTCTGCACTCGCCACAGTAACTGGTAATGTAAGGTGCAAGTAAAATGCCGTTAATAAGTCAGAGAAACTAGTAATTAAATTATTATTTTAAAAAAAAAACGATTTGCGTACACGGTAATTTAAAACAATATATTTATTAATTTAAATTATATTTTAAGTCAATTTTGACCCAACAGATAAAAACAATAATAAATAATATGGCTTTTTAGCGGTTATATGAGTTAATATAATAAATAATAATATGTAGTGATTCTCGATGGAGGTATAAAAATATTAAATGCGAGTCAAGGAAAATAGTCAAGTCTCCATTAAAAATACTAATAAAATGTATAATATATTATAATACGTGACAATCGCGTCCACGACAATATAAATATATAATATAACGTGACGATTTGCGAACACGGTATAATAATAAGATTGTCGATACCTACTCGATATGGGATTTCGCGACGTACGTCACACCAGCCCCCCCATTTTCAAAATATTGAAATTTTATTTTTCTATCTTTTAGTATGCTTTTTGTACGAATTTGTAAGCATTGTTACAGAATTTGTATGAACAAAATGGCTCAGATATATCAAAAACCCGTCGGGGGGTTGGCGAGACGTCACGCCAGCCCCCGACATGGATTATTTGAAATTTTTTTTGTACCAATACATTGCCCTCTATTCGTACGTATTTGTACGCACAATATAAACATTCGTACGTTCTTCGTTCAGGGGGGATATCGAAAAACCCGTCGGGGGGTTGGAGAGACGTCACGCCAGCCCCCGACATGGATTATTTGAAATTTTTTTTGTACCAATACATTGCCCTCTATTCGTACGTATTTGTACGCGCAATATAAACATTCGTACGTTCTTCGTTCAGGGGGGATACGAAAAACCCGCCGGGGGGTTGGAGAGACGTCATGCCAGCCCCCCGACATGGGTTATTTGAAATTTCAAATGCATACAATAAAAGCGTATTTTTGAGACATTTGTAATTTCACAAGTGGATTTATTTGAACATTATGTACGTGGGTATAAATTAGCTTATATATTATTCCAGGAGTACATATAACTTTATTGTTTCATTTAAAAAACTGTCACGGTCACCAATACAATCTGTACCTATGTATTGTAATATATTAATCTATAGGTATTTGAAAAAATGTTTGATTATACTTAGATACCGACATTTAAAAAAATTAATTAATTACGTAATATTATATTATTCTCCTATTTACCATCTACTCTTATTATGGTCAATGTGTATCCATTAGACGAGAGGATGGATAATTTCTGATCAAAATGCTGTACTATTTATTATTTCCAATACTTTAATTAATTTTTATTTAGTTAATTTATCTTTAGATTCAAACAAATTGGTGTGGTCATTATCTTATAGGTATTGGCTAGGCACTATCTCCGTGAACTATCATTTTATTAGTATTATTATTGTAAAATATTTTGAAATAAACTTTTAATTTACCTTTAGGCTTCCATTATTTAATATTATTTACTATAGTAATTAAGACAATTTATTATAAGTATGCTGTATGACTGTATGAGTTTGAAAATTATTTTTTTATTTTTATAATACATAATAGATTACCTATTATTATTGCTAATGACTGTTACACAAGCGCTATCGTATTTTTGAGACTTTTATAATATTTAACTCGTATATTTATTTTAACATACCTATTATAAGTGAGTAGTTTTTAAAATAGTCCAGTACCAGGACTACAGATAACGTTTTTGTTTCTACGCCCAAAATTCAAAGACCTTAGGTTGTGTTTAATTACGACATTTTAAAATATATTAGGTATACACAAATGTTTTTGTATAATTTTGTTAAACACAGCTTCAAAATGCATTGCACATGTTTACTAGATTATTCCCATAGTCTTAACCCCAATATTTTGGTTTTTGATCTCGCCGCACTGAAAGGTGCATTATTATCGTAAATATATTTCATAATAAAATTGTATCATGCATAGGTATAATACATAATTTGCACATGTGCCTATAATGGTTGGACTATACCTAGTTTTTATGTATTTAAATAAATTAAATTCACATACAACCCAAATAAATAAATTGTTTTGTTTAATGTTTATACATTGTGAATTTTTAAGAATGTTCACTTTTTTATGCTTATAAATAAAGCATATTATATCTAAACCAAAACTCGAACGAGTAGTTTTTCAGTTATAATATACACGTTATGCTGTTTTTTTTTTTTAAATTTTATTTTTATGGATTATTATCCTTGCCTCTTGTTATAAACATATTTACATATTAGTTATTACTATAATAACTCAGAAATTAGGCACCTAGGTACTCAATAAGTAGTATGGTTTTGTTCCTTCTGAGCACCTTTTTTACAGGGAAATTTCTTCAGTTCAAGCGGGCATTTCTACATGCTCCACCGTGCTTTTCTGAGCACTTGTTTTACAGAGAGATTTTTTACAGGGATATTTCATCAGTTTAAGTGGAAAATGTCTACATACTCCACCGTATATTTCTGAACACCTTTTTTAGTAGGTAGTATACGATAAACTAATGATTGAAAATCGTTTGAGCATTTTTTAAAGTTCATTTTTGAAAAATTGAAATAACTTATAAAACAATTGAATAAAACTTTGAGAAAATAAAAGATAATGAAACACCACTTGACTATAAACGACGGGTCATTAGTAACTGATAATTTTAAAACATGATTTAACAAATGGTATAGTATGAAGCGGTTTCACAATTACAAGTTATAACTGTACATAATAAAAAAAAAAAAATCTAGGTAGTTACTAAAATGTGTACCTAAATTAATTTTAATAATTTTAATAAAAAAGTGCAGTGTTACCAATATGTGTGAGTAATACATTTATGAAAAATTTACTTTGATGCCGACATTAAAAATAAAATATTAGTTACGTAATAATATATTATTCTCCTATTTACCATTTAGGTACCCTTATTATGGTCAATGTGTATCCATTACACGAGAGGATGGATAATATTAATTTCTGATCAAAATGCTGTACAATTTATTATTTCCAATACATTTATTAATTATTATTTATTTAATTTTTCTTTAGATTCAAACAAAATGATGTGGTCATTTTATTATAGGTATTACTGGTATTAGCTATGTCTTACACTATGTCCGTGAATTAACATTTTATTAGTATTATTGTAAAATATTTGGAAATAAACTTTGAATACACTTTAAGGCTTCTATTATTTAATAATGTTTACTATAATAATTAAGACAATTTATTTTAAGTATGCTGTAAGTATGAATGTTTTAAATTTAGAATAGATTACCCACCAACTTTTTTCCTACCTACTGACTGTTACACACGCGCTAGCCGACAAAGGTGGCCGTCCATTGTCTCTTGACTCTACTATACCGCCTTTTCTTAAAATAGTTTTCATGTGGAATAAAATTATAAAGGCACAATCAATTGTTTAAAAATAGGTATAATAATTTGGTTTAAAATATTAGGTAGGTAGGTACCTATCATTAGCTACGATTCTGCAGTTGACAGTCGACCATCGTGTAGTGGAGTGAGACAAAACAGTTTTTCGTACTTTATATTTTATTTTTTAATATCTAAAATATATTTTTAATTTGCTTATTACAAATTACAATACAAAATCATGGTTGGGAGGAAACCTTTAGTGGATCCACTAAGGATCATAAACGCAGTACTCTACTATAAAAGTGCAGTACTTGAAGAAAACAATGGTGTAAAAAGTAAGTACCTACATTTTTATTTAAAATTGTAATAATATAAACACATATAGTAGATTATAAGTACCTATATTAGTATCTTTAATTCCATATTGAAAAAAATTAATTTTTGAATGAGATATTTTCAATGGTAGGAAGTTCTACTACTACAGTACTACCTAAGTCCTAGTTTAATGAAAAGTAAGTAGTTAGGTAAATCTCTGAACAGTAGGTAGGTACCTAATTAAAGTTAATTTCAATCTTTGTTTCATGTGATATAATATATCTAGTGATATAGGTATTATGTATATAATATATGTTTATGCATTTTTTTTATAAATACAAATAAAAACAAAACCAATTTAATCAAAGTATATAATATTTCTGAAGCTAATTCATGAATTTAATTAAATTATAATCTTATTATTTTAGAAATTGTTGTAGCATCAAACACTGTATGGTCAGATATCAGTAATCGACTAGGTCAGCGTTTCCCAAATACCGGGTCGCGACCCACTACCGGGCCATAAAAAATTTAATACCGGGTCGCAAAATTTAATGAAATTCTCATATTAAATTTGTTATTTATCATTTTCGTTTGATAATTTAAACTTTTAAGTAAAAATAAATTCATTAATACGAATAACTATTATTTACAACATAAATAATAATTATTGAGATTATCAACTAGGCTTCATGAAAAACCCGAATAGTATGACATTCGCCGTATCTATAAATACATTATAATAGTATTAAATGAATGACAAGCGTCGTTGGATGTTACGGCACTAATCCGTTATCCGTTATCTACAAATGAATTACCGATATAGGCATATTATAGCGATGGCTAAATATTTATTTCAGTTTGAACCTTGGTGTCAAACGACGCACGTCTACGACGAGTTATTAAAATTGTAATACGTATACGCGTCTTATTTTCTCGCGTTTATTTATAATGGATAAGTGGTTAATAAAACCAAGTACCGGTTCCATAAGAAACACCAACCAAGAGTCGAGTGATGTAAGTACAAGTTCTAATATTGATTCTAATAAATGGTCGTCCGATGCGCAAAGTAATTCTCTTACAAAAAAAAAGGGGGCCTGGACTCGACAGTATTTTGAAAATTACATTCAATTTGGCTTTATCGAGGGCGATGATAACAAACCATTATGTGTAATATGTAATGCAGAACTTTCAAACGAGTCCATGAAGCCTTCGAAGTTGAAGAGGCATTTAGAATTGAAGCATCCTGAATACAAAGAAAAGCCTATAGATTTTTTCATTAACAGGAGAAGACAATTAAAAAGTTCCAAAAAAAATATGACTTCAATGTTTTCACTTAGTCCTCAAACTGAAAACCTTGTATTGGCTTCTTATGAAATATCAAAATTAATTGCTGAAACGGGTTATCCACACACAATCGGTGAAAAATTAATACTTCCGGCAATGAAAATAATTTCATCTCGAATATGCGAAAAAAAAACAGGAAAAACAAGTAAATTTGTTGGCGTTGTCGAATAACACGGTGAAGCGTAGAATTGTGGATATGGCAAATAACATCGAAGAAACAATAGTAGGCCACCTCAAATCGTGTTATTATTTTTCTTTACAAGTTTATGAAAGTACAGACGTGTCGGATAATGCTAATCTAATGTGTTTTGTAAGATATGATCTTGGAAATACTTCTCACGAAGAGTTATTGTTTTGTAAATCGCTGCCAACAAGAACAACAGCAGAAGAATTATTTAATTTAATCAATAGATATATTATTGAGAATGGCATTGAATGGAATAAATGTGTGGGATTGAGTAGCGATGGAGCACGTGCAATGTCAGGTATTCGTACTGGACTTTTTCCAAGAGTAAAAGCTGTAGCGCCGGAATGTGTATGGGTTCATTGTAGTATTCACAGAGAGGCATTAGCAGTCAAAAAAATGCCATTGTCTTTAACTGAAACGATGCAAGAGTGTGTAAAATTTATAAATTTTATTAAATCTCGTCCACTAAACTCGAGAATATTTTCTGCTTTGTGCAAAGAAATGGGGAGTGATCATGAACATCTTCTTTTACACTGTGAGGTGCGATGGCTATCGAGAGGGAATGTCTTGAAAAGACTAATCGAATTGAAGGAAGAAGTTTCGGTATTCTTAGAACAAAATCCTCCAACATCTAAAGATGCAATATTTGAATTTAAAGACAGATTTCATGATGCTAATTGGTTAGTTAAGGTAGCCTACATTTGTGATGTGTTTGATTTTTTGAATAATTTAAATTTGGCACTTCAAGGTGAAAATGTGACAATATTTAAAGTGCAGGAGAAGGTGGAAGCTGCAACAAAAAAACTTAATTTGTGGTCACGTCGCATAAAAACAGGAAATTACGAGGCTTTTACAATGCTGACAGCATTTCAAAAAGAGAATAACATAAGTTTCATGTCACACGATATATCAGCTCTTATTCAGGAACATTTGCAAGGACTGGAAACTAATCTAAAAGAATATTTTCCTCCAATTAACAGTAACAAAGAATGGATAAGAAACCCATTTTCAATCAATATTGAAACAACTTTTTCGGACTTAAATGTTGAATCATTAATTGAACTCTCATGTGACACGGCACTCAAAGACATATATAAGGAACGGCCATTAATAGATTTTTGGTTATCTTGTCGTAAAGAGTACCCAGTTGTAGCAGAACAAGCGATAAAATTTCTAATGCCTTTTGTCACGACCTATAAGTGTGAAGCAGGATTTTCAACACTCGTCTTCCTGAAGAATAAATACAGGAATCGGTTGGAAGTTGAACCGGACTTAAGAATAAAATTAACGTCCTTTCCAGCAAACTTGGAGTTCCTAGTTAAAAATAAACAGCATCACACTTCTCACTGATAGTAGTCAACTAATATAATTAGTAACTGTATTATAATTATTACATTGTAGTTTCAAAATATAAATGAACGCTTTAATTTTATTAAAAAATTCTATGTAGATATTCAAATGTGTTTTATTTTGCCTTTTATTACACAATTATAAACGTAAAATATTTTGGTGGGTCACGAAGATGAAAAATATAAATTACCGGGCCAGCCCAAACAAAAGTTTGGGAAACGCTGGACTAGGTGGTTCTATTAGCAAAAGTGCGCTTTATATATTTGTTCAACAAGGACGCCATGGTATACATGAAAAGCTTGGAATTGGTATAGCAAACAAGAGACTTGACTCTGAAAATAATGTTCAAAGTGTTGAGCCTATCGTTGCATTTGGTAATGTTATAAAATTACAATAAAATATTTTCAAAAATAATATAAAATTTAAAATTTAAATAACAATGTGTCTTAAATCCCTTAATATCGAATATTTATGATTTTTTATTTATTTACTAAATTACATACCTACTGGTTGATATTTTATGAAATATAGGTACTTATAATTTAATATTTATAGATGAATCTAGTGATAGCAGTGGTGACAATGTAGACAACTTACCATCAAAACATTTTACCATTACATTGTCTGTTGATGAATGGAAGCAAATAGAACCTAATGAAGTTCTATATAAAAATAAAAATAGTTTTCGTTCTTATTTGGTACTACCGAAAGGATCATGGACAAATATTTTAGCTGAACATACATGGATGCATACAAATTTACCTTGCTGTATTGCTTTTAGAAGAGCTAAAGTTACAGATGAAGGAAACCATTTTATTGTAATAGATGGAAGATGTTCAATATGCTATTCTTATTTTAAGGGAGTTATATTTGAAAAACCATCAGAAAATTCTAGGTATGTATTTTAATGAATTACCTAATTAAAGACTAATAAATCTATAGTTATGATAATATACATTTAATAACTATTATAAAACTTGAAATATTATTGGTACCTACATATAATAGTATAATATAGATATATAATTGAATTATTTAGGTATCTTGTGATTTTTATTTTTATTCATAACAAAATACAACAAAATAATAATACCAGCAATTAACTGTAATTTAATTTGTTATAAAAGAGTTCTTATGGAATGCACATACACTGGACAGTTTGATGATCCACATAAAATAATTAAAAAACGACGATTAACTGGAAAAGCTAAAATCAATGTGGTATCGGCTATTGTAAATTGTGGAAAATCTAGTGAAACATATAGAGAATTTGAAGCAGTACGGCTCATGAAACCAGGTACCTATCCTAGTATTATTTATTAGGTACCTAATAAAATAATATTTAATTATATTTAAATATTGATGACTTTTTAATTCATTTCAATTTATACTTATCTACGTTTGATAGTAAGCAATGTGTAATTATATGTTTAGATTTCAATATTAATATCTTAAACAATAATATCAAAACTATTTAATACCTCAATATCTTACCTAGTCATTGTTTTTTATCTTGTATAAATGGGTATGCTAGAGTAGTAACAAATTCAGCCACTTGTATCGATCATATTTTTGTCAAAAACTTTGAAATAGATAATATTAATCCTATAATTCTTAAATGTGATATTACAGATCATTTTGCAACTATCATTAACTAACATAGACTATGGTAAAATCAACACTACTCATACTAAAAATAATTTAAAACAATATACTAAAATTGATTTTAATCTTTTAAATAATATGTTAAAAGATGATAACTGGTCCTGTTTATCTAATATTAGTGATGTTAATACATTAATTAATATATTTAATAATAAATTTAATTTATATATTAATTTCTCTAGTACAGTGAAACTCGTTCATGTTACTAGTAATAAATTTTGTAAGCTTAAAGAATGGATGACTCGTGGCCTCGTGGATACTGTTGAAGAAAATCCAAGCACTTTTACTGTCCCAAAACGTGATGACAGACACAAAAAAAAAAATTAAATAAAAAAAAACACACATCATTGTAAAATCAATACATTCATCGTTTCACTCAGAATCTAAAATAAAGTGATGGGCATCTTTCTTGATATTCAAAAAGCTTTTGACTCGGTTAATCATGTTATTTTATTAAAAAAACTTTATTATGCTGGTACTAGAGGTTCTACATTAAATCTTTTCAAATCTTACTTAAGAAATAGAACACAGGTTGTCAGATTAAATGGTGTTATTAGTGATCCTGTTAATATTACGCATGTGGTACCACAAGAAACTGTATAAAGCCTATTTTATTTCTTATTTATATAAATGGTCTATTAAATTTAAATGATGCCATTTCTTGTTTTGCTGATGATACCGCCATATTGCTACATAGTGACAATTATAATGATTTATATAAAAAAGCAATTTCACTACTATACTGTTATATTATTTAAACAAATCTTAACTCATATATTGTTACATTTTATACCTTGCTTAATCTTAATTTTTATTTATTCTTTCTGACATTTTGGCAAAATAACATGTATACTTAAATTATAATCTGACTCTACTCTCCCAATACAAGCGAGAATACAAGCTATGCTTATAGGGAGTGTTGCATACTATTCTATTGTCTTAATTTTAATGTATTGTATTCTTATTTGCAAAATGAAATAATAATTATTATTATTATTATGTTAATAAAAAGGTAATTTAATTTTCTTTTTTAATTTTCCACTAATTATGATTCCCTAAATAGTTTGAAAAATTTAATAAGTACAATTTTAGTTCTGTGGTATCACCCGTACAGGCGTACAATATACGACAGTACCTACTGATCACTATTAGATACAAAATGTAGGCACTTATAGATTCATACATTTTCTTTGAGTTGTCTGCTACAATAACATATAATACTTTTAAAAAATAATATTTTTAGTGCATGGAAAAAAACAAAGTAGGACTTACCTAGGTACATGATTTTTATAAAAATAACTTCATGAATTATTAAAAATTAATGTATTATAGTTAATTTAATACTGTTTAATAAGTTTTAATTAATAAATAGAATTATATTAATACAATAGATCATTAGTATCAATAAAATATGACTTAAATAGAAATAATAAATACTTAAACATTAATATAAAATATTTGTATGACTCATTAAAAATTACTAATTTATAAAATAAATATCTTTATATCCTTATACCACTGCGTATAAATTTATTTGAGTTTAAACCTGAATTTTTAGGTGACCCTGAACCTGCAATTATTCCATCTGGTGGAGCTTTAAGAACTTTAAAATGGAGACATAATTCAGAGAAACTTAGAAATAAAGACACAATAACAGCTTTGGCATTAATGAAAGAAGAAGAAGAATACAAGAATGTCTTACAAGATATGGGTTGTTTTCCTTTTTTTCTTCATTATCAAAGTAGTGAACAAATTCATGTGTACCGGGATTACTGTCGAAATTGTCCTCGACCAAAAATTATAATCGATGCCACTGGATCTGTTATTAGTAATTTCAAAAAATGTGGTATGGAAAAAACAAAATCATTGTTTTTATATGAAATATTAGTATATGATGCTTCTAAAAAACATAGCTTTACAGTGAGTAACATGATAAGTGAACGGCATACAAATATTGCTATATTTAACTGGTTTGCAAGATGGCTTAATTGTAATGTTCCGTCTCCAAAAGAAACAGTGTGTGATCAGTCATTAGCCCTCATATCTGCCATAGTACAATGCTTCACGCAATATTCATCTCTACAAGAGTATCTTAATGTATGTGCTGATTTGACATTAAATCAGTTAGATTCAAATTCTCATTGGCTGTCCCGGTGCTTCGTTAGAACAGATGTTGCTCATTTTATAAAAATGATAACTAGATGGCCACCTCTAAAAACAACATCTAGACGAGTAAAAGAAATAATTCTTAGAGTGTTTGGGTTATTAATAAAAATTCAATCCATTGAAGACATTTATTCTTTAATTTTATCAATGTTTATAGTACTTACTAGTGAAACAGATGGAAATGATGTTGAACTGGGCCATGAAACAGCTTGTGAGCGCCATAAAATAAGACTGATAGAGGCTACATCATCAGGATTTATCAATTTTGAAGAAGAGTTTAATGAAATTATGCTGATGGCTGATAACGAAAATGAAGCACGAATTTTATTGGAGGAAGAATATGACCGACAATATGAAGGTCTGGATAATTTAAACAATCCGTTTAAATCCTGGGCAGAAGAAATTTTAAAAAGAAGTGAACTATTGTTAAGAGAAGGGTCAGGAATTAATGCAATGTACATGCCAACTTTGATTCCACACATAATTAAATGTTTAAAACTTCTCCCTTTATGGTCTGGGTTAATGGTACCTATTTTTGGATTTGGAGATGAAACTACAAGTTCTGCAGCTGTAGAATCCAGCTTCAAAAAACTTAAAACATTAACATTTAAAGATATTTCGCTTCCTACAAATATTGAGACGTTTTTAGAAAGACACATAATTTCACTGCGTGGTACATCTCTTTTACGGTCTTCACATCAAAATGTATTATTAGACAGCCTTCAATTACATGCAAATAATAACAGTCATCAAACTGAAAATGAAGTCCAAAACGCAGATATTATCAATGATCAAAGTGAAAGAGAAGACTTAGTACCACAAATAGATAATGTTAGTAATATTCAAAGTGACAATTTAAATGAAGAAGACACAGCAGTAGAAAGTTGGAAACGTAGATCTAAAAAACAAAGGACTACAAAATCATACTTTGTTCCTAATCCTCATTTAAGGCATTTGGACATAAATAAATCGAAAAATATATTATCATTGCCATTATTAAAAAATGGATCTAGAGCAGAGGAACTAAAAAGTTGTGCTGTCCAAAGCATTGGGAAAATAATTATGAGCAACACTTGTGCGTTTGATACGGTTTCCTCCATTATTATGGTTGCTTATTGTGATAGTATCAAATACAGTCAAGAATTAGACAATTTTTTGGAAAATAATGAATATTTTTCATTTATATCAAAAATTGTAAGACAAGGTATTACATCGTCAACTTATTCAGATAGAGCTAGTATAATGGTTGGTATTTAAATTGAAATACATACATACTTTAAAATTTTATTTTATTTTTTTGTTTAAATTTATGTATGAATCTACATAATAATTTATTTATATATTTCATTTTTATGTTGTTGTGAACTAACATGAATATTATGGAAATATTCACTGTAATAAAAAAAATGGATTGCATACCTAATAGATATCATAATTTTGTATGCAATTTGTATTGTATATATTTTGTATGGTTTATAATGTTTGTATATTTATTTCAGATAAGTGAATTTGAACCACGTATGGAATTTTTAGAATATGGTACTACTTTAGCAGTTTGTGATACCACAATAGGACATATAATTAAACAATTATTCAATGATCTTCCATCGGCTTTAGACATAATAGAGTGTACAAATCTAAAATGTAAAAAAACAACATTAACCCCTATATCTGTACCTTATATAAATATTCAAATTACAAATGAGGACTTGAGTTACCTATAACAGGATATAGATAGTAGAATGAGAACTAATACTTCAATATGTGGTCATACTGAAAAGAACAGTACACCGTGCATTGGTAACAAAACAGTGACAACTACAATACAAATGCATTTATTTATTGAGCTCCTCAATAGGATAGGTATTAATTTTGTATTTATCTTATTGATTAAAATATGGTTTTTCCTAATTTATATAAGTAAAATCTATTTTATTTCAGAGGAGGATGAAATAAATAGCAGCCAGCATAGCACCGAAGCAGCATCTCATCCTAAAATAAAGTTGTCAAATATCCCACCTGTACTTATCATAAATGAAAAAGCATTTGAACTGAGAGGTGTATTTTGCTATCAACAAGGATTAAGTAGGTTAAGAAACTCTGTAGGGCATTATTATGCTTATGGAAAACGAGGACCAAACAACTGGGAGCTATTTGATGACACAAGGAAAAAAACAAAACCTGTAAAAAATTCAACTGTCGCCCCATGTGAATATTTAATGTATTCAATTTGAAATATTATATTTTGTTATTTTTGTTTTATCTTAAAAATAATATTCAATAAAAGGATTTTTTTTTACCATGATACAAAATTAATTTTATAGTGTTCAAATTACTGAACATAAAAATATCTTATACAAAAATAAGTCAACTTGTTATCTGTAAGTTAATTTTACATTGCTTCTACAAAGTAGTAATAGCAATAATTATTATTCAAACATAATATGATATAACTTCACAAATCACAATAGAGTATTTCATTATACATTTATACCGGTAAAGTTAATGGTGTACAAATATATCAATATCACAAAGGTATAGTAATTTAACATTTAAGATCCATAGTAGGTTAATGTATTCATTTGAAAAACATCTTCAACAATATAACTATTGTGAAGAAACTATCTAGATTATAATATTTTAAACCAAAACTTTGAAATATGTTACCTTATAATGGTCAATACCTACCTATATCATACATATATAGGCAAATAACAAAAATGTTTAAAAAGTCTATGGTATATATGTGCAAGTATTTATATACCTTTATAAGTTTAATTAATAAGTTGGTACTCATATTTGATATTAGTATGGATGATAAAAAAAAAAAAAACAATAATAATGTTATTCCGTTTACTGACTTTATACCAGCACGCATTGCCAATAGAATATATGAACTTCAACTGTCAACATAAATGTATTCATATCTTTATGTATTGAAGAAAACACAATTAGGTGTTTAAAATTTGAATGAAAATTATCAGACAACTACTTTCTCATAGGTACCTACCGTAAAATGGGATATTACTGGCCCACTTTTTATATTTTTTTTTTATATATTCTGGTGAATTTTGGAAAAATCTTTATAAAAATCCGTAATTAATAATTTTTTTTAGTAAAATATGGATCAACTATTTTATATTATAAGTCACATTGACATTATTAACATCATATGGCCAATGTTGCACATATATGGGGTACCTAATTATGTCCTACATGTATAAACTCACTGTAAAAGGTGTATTTAATGAGTTGGGTCAATTGTATAGCATATAGTATACATTAGATATTAGAGCAATTAGTTAAATTAATAACTAACTTCAGTCTCAAAGTAAATTTTAATTTATAAGTCAAATGGTTTTGTTTGTAGGTAGGTAACCTCCTAATGAGACAATAGTATTGTAAAAAAAACTTTTTCCACTTAAACTGTTGAAATATCCCTGTAAAAAATCTCTCTGTAAAACAAGTGTTCAGAAATGAACGGTGAAGTATGTAGAAATGTCCCGATTGAATTAAAGAAATCACCCTGGTTGAAAAAAAGTGCTCAGAAAAGCACGGTGGAGCATGTAGAAATGCCCGCTTGAACTGAAGAAATCACCCTGTAAAAAAGGTGCTCAGAAGGAACAAAACCATACTACTTATTGAGTACCTAGGTGCCTAATTTCTGAGTTATTATAGTAATAACTAATATGTAAATATGTTTATAACAAGGGGCAAGGATAATAATCCATAAAAATAAAATTTAAAAAAAAAAAACAGCATAACGTGTATATTATAACTGAAAAACTACTCGTTCGAGTTTTGGTTTAGATATAATATGCTTTATTTATAAGCATAAAAAAGTGAACATTCTTAAAAATTCACAATGTATAAACATTAAACAAAACAATTTATTTATTTGGGTTGTATGTGAATTTAATTTATTTAAATACATAAAAACTAGGTATAGTCCAACCATTATAGGCACATGTGCAAATTATGTATTATACCTATGCATGATACAATTTTATTATGAAATATATTTACGATAATAATGCACCTTTCAGTGCGGCGAGATCAAAAACCAAAATATTGGGGTTAAGACTATGGGAATAATCTAGTAAACATGTGCAATGCATTTTGAAGCTGTGTTTAACAAAATTATACAAAAACATTTGTGTATACCTAATATATTTTAAAATGTCGTAATTAAACACAACCTAAGGTCTTTGAATTTTGGGCGTAGAAACAAAAACGTTATCTGTAGTCCTGGTACTGGACTATTTTAAAAACTACTCACTTATAATAGGTATGTTAAAATAAATATACGAGTTAAATATTATAAAAGTCTCAAAAATACGATAGCGCTTGTGTAACAGTCATTAGCAATAATAATAGGTAATCTATTATGTATTATAAAAATAAAAAAATAATTTTCAAACTCATACAGTCATACAGCATACTTATAATAAATTGTCTTAATTACTATAGTAAATAATATTAAATAATGGAAGCCTAAAGGTAAATTAAAAGTTTATTTCAAAATATTTTACAATAATAATACTAATAAAATGATAGTTCACGGAGATAGTGCCTAGCCAATACCTATAAGATAATGACCACACCAATTTGTTTGAATCTAAAGATAAATTAACTAAATAAAAATTAATTAAAGTATTGGAAATAATAAATAGTACAGCATTTTGATCAGAAATTATCCATCCTCTCGTCTAATGGATACACATTGACCATAATAAGAGTAGATGGTAAATAGGAGAATAATATAATATTACGTAATTAATTAATTTTTTTAAATGTCGGTATCTAAGTATAATCAAACATTTTTTCAAATACCTATAGATTAATATATTACAATACATAGGTACAGATTGTATTGGTGACCGTGACAGTTTTTTAAATGAAACAATAAAGTTATATGTACTCCTGGAATAATATATAAGCTAATTTATACCCACGTACATAATGTTCAAATAAATCCACTTGTGAAATTACAAATGTCTCAAAAATACGCTTTTATTGTATGCATTTGAAATTTCAAATAACCCATGTCGGGGGGCTGGCATGACGTCTCTCCAACCCCCCGGCGGGTTTTTCGTATCCCCCCTGAACGAAGAACGTACGAATGTTTATATTGCGCGTACAAATACGTACGAATAGAGGGCAATGTATTGGTACAAAAAAAATTTCAAATAATCCATGTCGGGGGCTGGCGTGACGTCTCTCCAACCCCCCGACGGGTTTTTCGATATCCCCCCTGAACGAAGAACGTACGAATGTTTATATTGTGCGTACAAATACGTACGAATAGAGGGCAATGTATTGGTACAAAAAAAATTTCAAATAATCCATGTCGGGGGCTGGCGTGACGTCTCGCCAACCCCCCGACGGGTTTTTCCGAGATCCCCCCTGAACGAAGAACGTACGAATGTTTATATTGCGCGTACAAATACGTACAAATAGAGGGCAATGTATTGGTACAAAAAAAATTTCAAATAATCCATGTCGGGGGCTGGCGTGACGTCTCGCCAACCCCCCGACGGGTTTTTGATATATCTGAGCCATTTTGTTCATACAAATTCTGTAACAATGCTTACAAATTCGTACAAATAGCATACTAAAAGATAGAAAAATAAAATTTCAATATTTTGAAAATGGGGGGGCTGGTGTGACGTACGTGATTTCGCGTTCACGATATATTTAATAAAAGTAATATGACAACTCACGTGATTGTACTTTTCATAAAATTTTAAATTATAAGGTTATTTAATTTTCTTTAAAATTTAATATATTATGTAGATGAAATATATAAATATGTTCAAAAGTTCAAAACCATTAGTTTTAATAAATTAAATATTAAATTTCTAGTATTTACGTAACACCAATGACCACAATGATTGTTTACGAATCACAATAATTTAATGTTGTCTTTCAATGCAAAATCATTGTAAGACTACTTACCTAAGTAACTTGGATGTTGTTTCTGACACCAAACGGAAAACAGTACACCCTCAAACACCACTCTCATATTAAAATTGTTAGAATGAAATGAAAAAAATAATTTCTTTCTTGGGCCGTAGACCGTAGTATAATATTATAATCTATTTCTATAATTTAGTATACCAGCTATTATAGGCTCCACTCCGAATTACCACGTATCGCCGCCGCATGCCCGCATATCGCAATAACTAGACTTGACAATATTATTATACTCTTATTAATAGTACCTACTAAATACTATGATGTATGGTTATCCGTATACACGTTTAGTAATCACTTATCAGTATACTTTGTATTATTTCAGTATTCAATGATTTTATTTACTTGAACCGAAATTTTTTAAAAAGTACATCATTTTGCTGAGGGGCGCCGAGGCCCCTTTCACGATGAGGCCCACGGAACATCCCGCCTTCAATCATATGTAGTTCCGCCACTGAATAATAATAACCAGACTCGCCTCGACGGCGACAAATGCAACAATCTCGAGGCGTACATCATAGTTTATAATAATTTTATATATTAAATTATAATACAAACACGGCGTGTGCACATACGCACGTATATTATATCTATTATGTGCGTATATATGAATAAGATGGCTCGTATAAATCAGATAAACCCGCTGTATCACGAAGCTTTTTTTTTTTTTGCTCGCGCGCGGTGATGAGGTTTTCGACCTCATTTGCATCTCGACGATAATAATTATTTAAGGCGAACACTCTCTCACATGGGGTATTATAGGTATAGGTACTCTGCACTGCACGTCAAAGAACTTATTCGCGTCTGTGCAGTGTGTGTGTGTGTGTGTGTTAATAAACATTGAATCGTGTGCGTGACGAAAACATAATTTTTCAATATACATTAATAATAGTAATAATAATCAGAAGAAGAAACCTATGGCCTATACACCCAAACCTCACCAACCCGTTCTCGAAGGATATCGTTAAATAAATAATGATAATAACAGGTTTTCGATATTATAATATTATAGGATTATAATAATACTTTGCATTATTCGAAGATCCATAATAATACGTATACGAATATGATACACGCACTTTGAAGGGGGGGGGGGTGACACGAAATAACCCACAGCTCTGTTTGTCGGTTTATAATATAATGTAATATTGATATCTTAGGTTTTTATAGTGTCAAAATAAATAATATTTCGCTGTGTATTATATTATTATAATATGTACGCAATACGCGTGTAGTTGTAGTCAGGCACACGTGCGAA